CAAAGCAACTACTCACCGACGGCAGCGCCGCTATAAATTCTACAAATTTTCAAAGACAGGCGTGCTAAGCTTTACTACGTAGCATGGAGGTTAGAGAACAGGAGAACGATCAATTGTGGGCATTTGTGAGTAAATAACCATGCTCCGTAATTTTTTTAATTTTTGACAAAAAGAAACATTAAAAAATGGTGAAATATTGTATTGTGCGTAGACGTGCAAGTGCTTTAGCATCTGATCGGATAAGTAGACTGAAAATGACTTTTATTGAGAGAACTTAGCGATCGCAGTGCCTCACTTATGGTGTCCATATTTCTGGGACACTATTTTCTACAGCGATCGTTCTCCTTCTCTTTAACCTCCATGGTAACATACATACCACAGACCAGATCATGGAGGTTAGAGAACAGGAGAACGATCGCTGTAGAAAAGTGTCCCAGAAATATGATCAAAATAAGTGAGGCGTTGCGATCGCTAAGTTGTCTCAATAAAAGCGGACTCTCGTGCGCTAGTTTGAAATGATTATAACATCATTCAAAGAAAAAAAATAGAAAAAAACGAAATTATTACTATTTATTAATAAATAAATTATAAATTATGTTTTTTACAATTTTAGTTATTATAAATATTGTAAATTATAACAAATATAAATTATAAATAATTATTCATTTGTTATTATTATTTGGGGTATCTATATGGTTTTCTCTTCTGGTTGGTTTCCATAAATACATAATTGTGAATGAGAATGATAAATATACAAAGATATCTATAAAACAAAATAAATACATAAATAAATAAAAGCCCAACCAGATGGAAGCCCTCGGCAGGGGAGACCAAACGGCTGAGGGTTAGCGAGAAAGGGAAAGAAACCAGAGGACAATGCGGGTGGTATCGAGGTTCGAGGAGCACTGCCATCTGCATTTGCATTTGAGCCCGGAGCGGTCCGTCACAGAGTCCCAGTCGCCTCAGATGACCCGAGAGGCTGACCGGGATTAGCCCAATCGCAGAGACGACTACAGGAATAATTTCGGTCGGCAGACCACCCCACATTTCGATCTCTTCGTGAGCCAGGTCCAGATATTTTGTTTGCTTATCTGTTTCGGCTTTCACGAGGTTTTCGTCATACGGAATGGTAATGTCGACTAAAAATATCCTTGATTGTGCCCGGTCCATTAGCACAATATCAGGCTTATAGGTAAGAATAGTCCTGTCTGTGATGATGGTCCGGTCCCAGTAGAGCCTGGCGCGGTCATTTTTGAGCACGGCTTCCGGCAAGTACTTGTAATACGGCAATTTCCGGTCCATGAGATCGTATTTCGGAGCAAGCTCCTGGTGTAGAATTCCGGCTACTAGGTTGTGCCTGTGTAAGTACTCAGAGTAAGAAAGCGCCGAACATTATTATTATTATTATTTTGGGTTATTTATATAGTAATGTCACCTGGTTGGGTTCCATAAATATATAATTGCGAACGGAAATGATAAATATACATAAATAACAATAAAATAAAATAAATACATAACACATAAATAAAAGCCCAATCAGACGGAAGACCTCGGCAGGGGAGACTAAACGGCCGAGGGTTAGGGGGAAAGGGATAGAAACCGGTGGACTATGCGGGCGGTATCGAGGAGCACTGCCTTAAGCATTTGAGCCCGGAGTGGTCTGTGACGGAGTCCCAGTCGCCTCAGATGACCCGAGAGGCTGACCAGGATTAGCCCAATCGCAGAGACGACTACAGGAATAATTTTGGTTGGCAAACCACCTCACATTTCGGTCACCTCGTGAGCCAAGTCCAGATATTTTGTTTGCTTAACTGTTTCGGCTTTCACGAGGTTCTCGTCATACGGAATGATAATGTCGACTAAAAATATCCTTGACTGTGCCCGGTCCATTAGCAAAATATCAGGCTTATTGGTAAGAATAGTCCTGTCTGTGATGATGGTCCGGTCCCAGTAGAGCCTGGCGCGGTCATTTTCGAGCACGGCATCCGGCAAGTACTTGTAATACGGCAATTTTCGGTCCACGAGACCGTATTTTAGAGCAAGCACCTGGTGTAGAATTCCAGCTACTAGGTTGTGCCTGTGCAAGTACTCAGAGTAAGAAAGCGCCGAACATTATTATTATTATTTTGGGTTATTTATATAGTTATCTCATCTGGTTGGGTTCCATAAATATATAATTGCGAACGGAAATGATAAATATACATAAATAACAATAAAATAAAATAAATACATAAAAAATACATACACAAATAAATGCCCAATCAGGTGGAAGCCCTCGGCAGGGGAGACCAAACGGCCGTGGGTTAGGGGGAAAAGGAAAGAAACCAGCTGACAATGCGGGCGGTATCGAGGAGCACTGCCTTCCGCATTTGAGCCCGGAGCGGTCCGTGACGGAGTCCCAGTCGCCTCAGATGACCCGAAAGGCTGACTGGGATTAGCCCGTTTGCAGAAACGAATACAGGTATAATTTCGGTCAACAGCCCAACCCACATGTCGGTCACCTCGTGAGCCAGGTCCAGATATTTTGTTCGCTTATTTGTTTTGGCTTTCACAAGGTTCTCGTCATACGGAATGGTAATATGGACCAAAAATATCCTTGACTGTGCCCGGTCTATAGCACAATATCAGGCTTATTGGCAAGAATAATATCCTGTCTGTAATGATGGCCCGGTCCCAGTAGAGCCTGGCGCTGTCATTTTCAAGCGAGGCTTCCGGCAAGTACTTGTAATACGGCAATTTCCATCCCACGAGACCGTATTTCAGAGCGAGCTCCTGGTGTAGAATTCTGGCTACTAGGTTGTGTCTGTGCAAGTACTCAGAGTTAGAAAGCGCCGAACAACCGGAGATGATATGCCTAAGCTCGACAGACGTCGACGGTGCCATGCTTTAAAATGTATCTCCGATAGTTGTTGGTCTTAATAACCTGATCCTGTACTACACAGACAAAACACTCGGTTTCCCCGAAGAGATCACCGAAACGTAGACAGTTAAGGGAGGCGACTGTATCTACGAAGGGCTCATGTAGAGCCCCGTAGTACCTCCCGTGGAGCACCTTCTCCTTCCATACGGTCTCCCCGTCGGAAATGCTAAGCATTGCTGGGTCCTGCCATTGCTCGTTGGCTAAGGATAGAAGGGTAAGCCCTTTATGGCTAGAAATGACGTCATTATAGAATGGATCATCCGATCTCGCCAGGAAGTAATCACGGAGGCTGCACACTTCGCGATTATGCATGGTGAGCGCGCTCAGAAAAACACGCTCACCATGCTTTCGCGGCAAGTACAGCCTCATTACCGACGATCTCGGATGATGCATCCTATGGGACGTCATGGTAGTGCGTACTTTTCTATCCAGGGCGTTAAGTTCAGTCTGAGTCCACCTGAGTATGCTAAAGGTATACATGAGGACAGGCATGACACAACCGTTATATGCGTGTGTCTTATTCACACCGGATAAAAGGCTGTTAAGCACTTTGGTCAAGCGTGCATAAAACACGTCGCAAACTGACTGTTTCATACCGGCCTCATCAATACCCAATAATGATACTGTCACATACCCAGGTATCGGTATTTTTCAGCCTCGGAAAGGGTCCTTAAGTTGGCGGGCATAGATAAGTCTATGCCCTCAGAGTTAGCAACCCTTCCCCTTTCAACATGGACCGCACACTTATCCGTCCTCAGCTCCATTCCAATGGAATTGCTAAATTCACAAGTGATGTTTAGCAATTCCATAAGATAGGAGCGACTGAAGGCGAATAACTTGAGGTCATCCATATATAAAATGTGGGTCACTTTTGTCCCTCCTTTCCGTAGCTGAAATCCTCTCCCGGAGCCCTCCAGTAAGGTACTGTGAGGGTTCAGAGAGAGGCAGAACGAGATTGGACTCAGACAATCCCCTGGACAATACCCCTTCTTATCCTAATGTGGTTATCCGCAGCCATCATCCACTCGCCCATATGACAAAGGATCGTACTCCACTACCCCATACACAGCTCGAGTAAGTATCTAACTGTTACAGTTTATCTTGTACAGCTCGAGGACTCTCTTTAACCATGTATGGGACACCGAGTCGAATGCCTTTCTGTAGTCTATCCAGGCGGCGCAGAAGTTTCGACGGTTGCGTTTCACCACTTTGCTAATAACCGCCTCAATGAGGAGTGGTTCCTTCGTTTCACGACCACCGCCCTGACATCCATTTTGAGCGCGTGATTTAGCTCCAGGTGACGAGTGATTCTCGCGCTCAAAATGGATGTCAGTGTCTTATAATTGGTGGGTAGAACCGTGATGGGGCGGTATTTACTCGGGTCTGTGGTATACTGATCTTTAGGAACCAAGTGAGTGATCCCAGTAGTGTAGAGGCTCGGGAGCGACTTCTGGTTGAGAGCCTCTTGAAACTGCCGGGCGAGCTCAGCGTGACACACTACGAACCCTTCAGCCAGTAATGATTCAGCCAGTCGAGCCCCGGACTTTTCCAGTTCGGGGCCCTACGAAACGCCTCAGCCACGTCTTCCGAAGGTTATGGTGACGGGGTCCATAGGCGGTAACACTCGCACTCTGGCTCGTCACAACTTCCATCCAAGGGCCCTCGCTGTGGTTTACAGGCTCTGACCACAGGCCACGCCAAAATGCGACAGTGTTAGCCTGATCCGGTCCTGGGCCCGCTCAACATACCTCTGGTCGCTCCAATGATTTATAGAGCCTCTTCTAATCACTCTGAAAGAGACGATTCTGGTTGAACCGCCTTGACCTCTCGGGCAATCGTCGAATCCGCTTCCCAAGCAGCGATCTTTTGCTTCAGGTCGTCTATGCGCTCCGTTAGTTACTGCTTGATATCCGGCTGGGACAAACTGATATTTGTCACAGCAAACGCCATTCTAACGGTGCGCACAACCCTTGGTCTATTATTACCCGACCTGAAGCTCGTTAGTCTGCCGATAAGGGCCCTTGTCTTTGCGATACGGTCCTCAATTCTTTTTATCCAGGCTGGGATGGCGCTACTTTGTTTAGTAGCCCGTCCAGCCACGGGAAGTTTGGCAATAATACGGCAAACTGCGGCGCAAAAAAGAACTGAGTCCGTCTCGCAAAGGTCCCGACTGGCTTCCAAATAGGTTAAGAGCTCTCACGACAGCCCGATTTCGCCTGCTTAGGGGTATGCGGGAAAGAAGCGGTCGATTTTCGAGAGGCACGCTGCGCGTTTTCAAAATCGCCTCTTCCAATATACTCCTCATTTGCTCTAGTTCGCGGGAGACCATTTCATCATCGTCCGAATCAACCACAATAGGAAGATTCACGGCAGCTTTCACGCGTGGATGCTGGGCTGTCGCCTGAGGAGCTGCATCCCCAGCCATAGCCATATCATTCGATGAGGGAATGGCTTCACATCGTAGTCGTTCGAGCTCGGCATCATCAAATATTTTCGAGCGCATGATGAACCGAACTCGGTCTGCCAGGTTTTGTTCCGTGACGGGAATAGACGGCTCCAGCTCAGCAAAAAAGTAATGCATCCGAGCCCGATACGCTATCCCCGCAGTTTCTCCCCCTTTCGCCCTATAGTACGCCCGCAATGCGGTTGCGTTCATATTTTGTGTCCAACGCATGCGGCGCACTCCACCAGCGGCGGATGCTTCTTGCCGAGTCCGAGAGGACCCTGCCGACATCAAGCCATCTTGTGGGGATGATGGATGCGGGGTGCTGCTAGGTGATCTTGCAGCACCTCGCACTTGGCTGGCGGCCCGCATGCTGCTGCGTACAGCGCCAGCTCCAGATGCGCCCTTGCGACCCCCAGGCAGGGGCCCTATACGCTTTCTATTACAATCATCCATTTTTTGGGCGCCAATTAGCAGGAGTTTCATTGTATCCATTGTACGGCCGTAAGCACAAACGGGCCTTTGCACCCTGAGTACTGCCGAGGCACGGCGCTCATACCTCTTACTACCGCAAGGCGCTGACTTACTGCACCGACGTAGCAGTTTTGTTACTTAACTGTTACGTCAGCGGGCGATGGTTACGTCGTCACTTCCCTACGACTTCCATTATTATTATTTATTATTATTGCATTTTATTATTGCATTATTGTTATTATTATATTATTTAACCATTTTTTAATGTTTCTTTTGGTCAGTAATTAAAAAATTACTTCGCAGAAACTACTTACCGACTGCAGCACGGCTATAAATTCTACAAATTTTCAGGGACATGCGGGCTATGCTTTAGCACGTAGCGGTCGTTCTCTTATTCTCTAACCTCCATGGACCAGATAGAGAAACTAACTTTAATACATACGCATAATATACGCATTACACAGTCAGGGCTAGCGCGTTGTAGGCAGTTGAATGTTAAAATTACTTAACGCTGTTTACGTAAATAGTTTTTTTGTAAATTCTTGTCGAAATAGTTTTTGTTTAATATATTTAATGCAGGATAATATAGTTAAAAAATTTTTATGTAATTTAAATATTATATATATTATGTATATCACCTATTTCATAAGTTGTAATGGCAAAACGTCATTCGTACTCTAATAATTTTTGTGTGGATAGATTCTAAATGACCAACAAAAGGTTTCAGATATATTATTCTTTAAGTTACCGGATTTTGGTAGGAAGTTATAATAGGTGAATTTATTTCGTTTTGTTAGTTAGATAGGTACTTATAGCAAAAAAAGTAATAATCTATCTACAGATGTAATACCTACGTACTTTATTACAAAACTTAGTTGAACTTTATTACAAAATTTACTTGACTATCCAAGTATCTACTGACTACATACCTGTATTTGTCTTTTTTAAATAAAATATTTTAAGTTATAATAACACAAAACACTGAAATTAAAACTTTGTTTACCAACCAGATTTTAAACTAAGTAGAATACGATCACATTTCTGTTAGGAATCGTATTTTAAGTTTATTTGTTGTTTGCAATATCTACCTATTTCTTGTTCGGGTATTGGACGTATGTTGAATAATAATTAAAATTTTATATAAATACAGTTTAATAAAGATGTTAAAAAAATAAAATTAAAATATGTTAATAATGTTAAATGTTAATGTTATGTTAATGAGCTCGCGTCCGTCGCGGTTACGGTGATTACGTGAACTCACACAATTTTTATATTTGTCGAACTATATCAATTGCCTCACGTAAAATGTTAACGCCAGCAGAAATGTACGGTTGGACCGTACATGCTGCCGGGCCAAGATGTAATAAGATGATTATAATGTTAGTTTGATGTGTTAGGTGATCTTATCTAAGTAACAAGGTTAAACAAATACTGCAGTTCCGAGAACTCGTGCTGTAGTTGTAACAATATCATATGGCATAAGTGATCTGCGTTTATTTTCATACATCTTTCGTTTAAATGTTTTAAAAATATTTCAAATGCATTAATTCCTTCCCAATAGGGATCTAAGTTGTAATAGACAATTAGTGTCCATTTATCCTGGATTATCTGCATTTTACCCATTGGATCGAAGTAAATAGACTGGTTATTGTTAAAAGTTGTAATATTGTAAGAGCTTGTACTAAATGCAGGTGTAATTAAACATATAAAACATTAAACTCATAACGAGAGAACTAAATCTAGATGGTGTGCCTTGTATTTTTTTTTCTTATGGGTTCTCTTTTGTATGATGTTACTCGACCTTTCTTTTTCTTCATTTTGCTGTGGTGATATTTCTACAGGTAATAATGATAATTTACTGATTGGTCTTTTAAGGTTACCGTTTTTTGTTTTCAATGTTACAACTCTTACATGTCCATCGCTCCCGGGGTGAAGTTCCACTACGCGCCCCATTGCCCATTTACCTGGTGGTAAGTTGTCGTCTTGTATGATGACCATATCACCGATTTTCATATTTGGTTGCGGTCGAAGCCACTTACTCCTACTAGATAATTGAGTAAGGTATACAGCTTTCCATCTTTTCCACACTCCTTGAAATATTTGTTTTGTTAGTTGCCATCTTGTCCTGGCATCTTCGGGCGTTTCTATTATGGTGGAACCTACATTTGCAGATAAAAGGTGTGCAGGTGTCAAGAACTCCAAATCTTCCACGTTTTCAGTTAACGGACACAAGGGTCTTGAGTTTAAGCATGCTTCTATCTGGCTCAATATTGTCGAGTATTCTTCGTATGTTAACTTTTGATTGTTGTGTTGAAATACATGGATTTCCGTTATGGCTAAATAAACAATTTATGCAAAGTTTCAATTTTTTGGTGGTTTTCAATTTAATTCCATTTGACATATTTAAAAACGTTTTGCAATTGTAAATGCCATGATCATCATTACAAAGAGGACATTTTATACCAGTAACGTTATATGATTTTGCAATCGGTTTGTTTGTCGTATTTTGATTAAAATTGAATTGCTTTTTGTAATTATTACTCGATGTTGAATTGAAGATATGTTGAGACTGACCGTTTAATTTTGATATATTATCCTGTTTTCGCCGACATAATTCAAGTGCTGTAAATTTACTTTCTAAGTAGTCCAGAAACTCATGTAGCACAGGTAGATCTCTGGGCCTCTTTTGCGATTCTATATATCCTGTATATGTTTCCATGTCTAATTTTTGCGACAGTATGTATACTAACAGCGGATCCCATGTGCTAATATCTACGCCTAAGTTTTTGATAGCGTTTAGGCATTCTAAAGATGTATCATGTTATTTTTTAATTTGATTTACCGCTTGCTGCTGAATATTAGGGAAACCAAGCAATAGGCTAATGTGAGATACGAAAATTCGTCGCTTGTTGTTAAACCTATGATTTAGAATTTCCCAACTGGTTACATAATTTTTTGAACTAATATTCAAATGCTGTATTAAACGCGCTGCATCCCCTTGGAGTTTACTCTTTAAAAATTGCATTTTTTTGAGCGTTTGAAAGCGACGGGTTGTTGTGAACGCTTTCCGTGAAAAGATCTTTGAATAGTATCCATTGGTTATAATTACCGTTAAACGTAGGGATATCCATGGCGTACAGCTTTCTCGGTGATTGACAGACCACATTTTGGAATTGAGTTTTCTCTTCAAATCCATAAACTCCTGTTCATACATACTAAAAGTAGTAGTATATTCTTCGTCATCCCCATTGAAATCATGATCAATTTCCCAATGCAGAGAATCTATAGCCGACCATCGCGACTCTAATGTTTTTAAAGAATCTTCGAATTCCCATTTTTCCGTAATGTTATTTATGTTTATGCAACTAACAGACCTTTTAAATGCCTTAAAATTAATATATTGTTTGCGCAACATGTCATCTAACTTACTAGTTGTTCCTCGATGTACCTGTGGGCGGAGAGCTTCTTGTGGCTCCGCCGATTTTCCCGAAGACAGTTCACATATTCCACGCTGATCCATTTGTTGAGTTGTTTTACCTTCAGGGGCTGGATAATACTTCTGGCTAGCCAGGAAATCCTGATACTGCAAATTTATGATTTCTTTTACCGAGTTATATTGCTCCCTTGCAATTTCGTACTCGGAGTTTGTAAAGTAGGGATGTGTACGACTCTCACTTTTTACTAATTGACTGTGATTTTTCTGATATTCTTGCCAGTACGATTCCAAAACCTCAATTATTCTTTTGAAATAATCTAATGTTTTACGCTCTGACCCATCTTTTTTAATATTGACACCAATTTTACGAATAGCTCCTACAATCTCGACCTGATTAGCGTGTACGTTTTCCATGGTGCTACTAAATGCAGAACTGTTAAAAAGGGAAAGATCTTACTTTGGCACTGCTGATTACTGCTGACGCTGCTGCTGCTGTTGCTGACCAACTTGCCGACACGTTGATTCTTGACATAGACAAGCTGCTGCTTTGCCAAGCCAAATGTTGTGGATGTTGAGCAAGATGACCGCTGTTATGTTTGAGTTTAAAAAGTTTGCTAGTTCTCACTGTTACGTCACTGTCTTTAAAATACACGGTAGTTAGTAAAATGTTTATTTTTCACTCGAAGGACCAAAAAATGTTCGGGTATTGGACGTATGGTGAATAATAATTAAAATTTTATATAAAAACAGTTTAATAAAGATGTTAAAAGTATAAGATTAAAATATGTTAAATATGTTAAATGTTAATGTTATGTTAATGAGCTCGCGTCCGTCGCGGTTACGGTGATTAAGTGAACTCACACAATTTTTATAATTGTCGAACTATATCGATTGCTTCACGTAAAATGTTAACGCCAGCAGAAATGTACGGTTGGACTGTACATTTCTTAAGAGCCAAGCATCGCGATTCACAACGCATGCTAACAAACAGAATTTATCTTAGTGGATTTTATGATATATTTTAACTTTATAGCTCGGTCGATCTGAATTACAAAATTCACTCAAATTGACACAAAATGAAGCAAAATTGATTCTTAATCAGAAGTTTTTAAGTCCCATTGCTCAACACTTCATCCGTAGCAGGTCTTCACCTAGTTGGTATCCGAAATTAATATTTAATGAAAACTTTACCAACTTTATTAAAATCCTGAATTTTATTGAACCATAGACAGAACGAGTATATCGATAAGGCTGTTATTTCCTATTGTTAACATCACTAGAATTGTTTGTGGTATATAAAAAAGCTAAAAAATACGTCTACAACCATGGAGGCATGGAGGTAGAGGACAGGAGATCGATCGCCGTAGAAAATAGTGTCCCAGGAATATGCACACCATAAGTGATACGCTGCGATCGCTAAGTTCGCTCAATAAAAGTCATGTTAAGTCTATTTTTCCGATCAGATGCTAAACCACTTGCACATCCACGCACAATAAAATATTTCTCAATTTCTCCGTGTTTCTTTTTGTCAAAAATTAAAAAATTACGGAGCATGAAAACTTTCTCATCAAGGCCACCAAGAAAA